AAATATGTTTGGCTGATATTTTTAGGTTATTTGACTTAGGCTTAAAAGTTAAAATCACAATATGTCCACTTGGTTATTTCATGATGGAACAATGTGTGAAGGTAGTGAGTAATTAAACTGCAGTCAGAGAGAGACGTATTGTTGAAGTTCATTGTTATAGCGTTTGTTATAAAGCGACTGTTGAAAATAAGTGTATCGGTAAAGTTATATTCAGAAAGAATAAACCAGTTTTATTAAGTAAGGACTTTTGTCGCTAAAGTTTCGTCGGAACGAAGTTACGGAAAACCAATTAACAAACGGAGACATAACAATATGTATTACTTTTTTGTACTCAATGTCATTTTTCCTTTTTGCCTTATTGAGTTACACAAATTTGTTTGTTCAAAAACTAATGCATGTTGTTTTCAAATATGCATCTTCGAATGTATTACTTTTTTGTACTCAATGTCATTTTTCCTTTTGCCTTATTGAGTTACACAAATTTGTTTGTTCAAAAACTAATGCATGTTGTTTTCAAATATGCATCTTTGAATAAAAAAAAATCAGTCACTATAATAAAATGTTCCAAAACTATAATTCATCTGGCTTTCTAAGTAAGCTATAAATAAGTGTAAAAATTCTTTTAGACATTTAGAGCAGTAGTACAACAATCACAACAAACCAAGAAATTCCTCTTGGCGGACTACTTTCTCCACCATCACTGAACTATAGCAAGCTTCGTTTAGATTTTAGAGTACAATCTGCTTTCTGTTTATTATAAACTTGTACATCAGTGCCGAAACTAAGGAGTGGACGTGGAGGAAAAAAAAATTATATCATACGCATGCTTTATTATCTTGTACTCACAAGATATTTATTATATGGAATACATGACTTACCATCTTAAATGAACAAAATAATTATTTCAAGGGATAATAAGTTGTGCCCGGGAGGATAATAAATCGGGCACACAACATAATAAGTTGTGAGCATGAGATAATATTTTTCATTTCTATATCCTCTTCCAGACCCCATACATCAGCCATATAAAATTGATTAGCAAACAATCTTGAATGCCAGAAAGAGATGGGGGAGGGGCATCTCAGGTAGGTTTTACAAACTTATTGCTATCTCTGCAAATAAAGAAGGTAGGAGGATCAAATCTTAGATTGTTTGTAATTATGTATAGTTTGTGTTTAAGTTTTTAAAGTTCTGAAGTGGAAAAATTGTAGCTCAGACACATCATGTGGCACAGAAAAATGAAGATTGAGAATTTTTTAAGCATTTCTTTTTAAAATGAAGAAATTAGAACTTAGATAGTATAAGAATGTGAATTATAAGCTACTTTTCGTGCCAGGTTTTTTGACATACATTGACAATAAAGTTGTTGGATGAAGTTTGGAATGTAACTGTAAAGGTCATGACATGCAAGAAATGGACACGCCCATATACATAGGGTTAACTATGTGGTATATGAATGTATCATGCTTTTCTATCTTGTTGTAATATTATAGTGTTTATAATGAATTTATTATTTGTTCTGTATATATATATATATATGTAGATATCACATAACACATGGTTGGGAAAGCTTTTAAATTTATTTCACTCTCAAAGTGGATAATACCCATTCCACAGAACAAGTATGTTATGCAATAATACTTAATGTTGTGAAGGTTGTTGACAGCAATATTCTTAAATGGTTTTTCAAGTGACATCTAAAGGTTACAGCCCCACCTATGTTGTAATGAAAATCACAAGTCATGAAGATAGTGATATTATCCCTGGTAAGTGTGAGGTTTCTTGCAAATGAAGGAACATTGCATTAATCACTATAGTGTGGAATACTATTTGAGTTGTTTAGTTGGGATGAGAGTTAATCACTGAAGGTACATGTAAGTCCTTCCATTGTTTAGTTATTGCAAGGACAGAGACTGTGTCCGGTGAGGAGGAGGGAGGGGGTAAAACTGCAAGAAGACTCCTTATACCTGTAATTGCAATCAGGTTAACTATGCTGACCAGTGCTTCTAACCTTGAAGGTTTTGTAACCAGTATGTTCACAACTCTTACCCGCCTTCTGATACAAGTTAACCTGACTAAACGAGTAAAATCAAGTCTAATTTCAGAAAGAAATCAAGAATTAAATTTGTGTAATTCACAAAGAAATTACATTTTAATAGTAAAACTGAATGTAATTAAAAACATTTGCATATATAATGATGGTTACCTTGTTCAAAACTAACTGTGGGTCTAAACAATATCAGTAAAATTCAAAATAGTTTGATATATATCAGCCAAAAATATTTCTGCTCAAAAACAGTATGTACACAATATTATTTTGTTTCTAGAAGTATCTTGTTCCTTCGTGAATGCCCTAGCATTTACTAGATATATGTTTGTCTGGTATATAAATAAGACGCTCACAAGCAGGTGGCGTGACAATAGTCACGTGATCTCGCTGACGCAACACAGTATTATATGTTTAATGTATTAGAGTTGGTGAATTTAAAACTTTCGAGTGCATTATTTAAGTTGATTTATTTATATTACACGGTCTTAAACACACCCCTTAAAAACGCATAAATAACACCCAGTCTAACAGTTAAGGTTTAACACTTACTTATTGCCTAAATTGTTAATAAACATTAGGAAATTTAATCTCAGAAAGTTAAACCTGTTATCGTTTCCTACGCCTAACTGTAGCTGAAACTTTACTGATGTTCTGTTAGTTTCTCAAAACGTTAAATCTGTTGTAATTTCCTAAGCCTAATTGTAGTTGTAACTTTACTGATGTTCTGTCAGTTTTTGGATTGATTTTTCTTTCACAGATTAGAAACTTTAATAAAAGAATTAACGAATATTGATAGCATTATTATTATTATTGATGGAAAACTAACACACACATTTAAATTTCAATTATAAAATACATATTTTAGATTACAGTTTGTGTACATTGTTCAGTGGTATAACATTTGTGTCTAATATCATAAAAATGTCAATTATATATTTCAATCACATGGATATTGTAGTAGACATATCCGTCTAGCGCAGAGCTACACAGTTGGCTATCTGTGTTTATTTTCGTGCCAAATAAATTGGGATATTTTTAAAGTAAACTTAATAGTTTGGTAAACAGTGAAGATATAATTACTTACTTTATCAAGCTTCAAAAGCTCGTCTGGAGTGGATGGCAACTGACCAAGCATCAAATGTGGCTTGAGGTTAGCTTCACGCCCAAGAGCTCGAACCACTGCTTCGCGGTCATACCGGTCTGCGCAGACGCAAGAAGCGGGAACAAGTCCATGTAGTGTGTAACTGACCGTTCTGAGCATAATTCTATACAAACAGAAATGTCCACATTACAGAAAAAAAACTGTGGAAATCAGAGTGAAAAAAACTAACCTATAAATTAATGAAGCCAATTTTTATATAAGTGACAACGACTTAAATAAATATAGGAGAAAACTATATAACATACGTTTATACATATGTCTAGAACCCATTGAATGGTCATTTGATTACCCTCTACATTAACGACATTTTCGGCCATAATTCCAATATGATCTTCTGAGGTTTAACCAGCTTAAGAAATTTAAGTTAATCCACAATATATGTACTAAGTTAATAATGTAAAATGTACATCTTCAGTGTAAAATTAATATTAATAATCAAAATATTCAAGAGTTATTTAAACATTATAACTATTAATATTTATGAAACACTTAAAAGAAACCAGTGTTTTGCTTTTGAAATCGGGTTTCGATACTTGCAGTGGGCGCAACTCAGATATTCCATTGTGAACAAATGAAAACCAATTCACGAAACCTGGATTTACTTGCCTGTCGTTCAGGTATTTTTAGTAATGAACATCGATCAACAAAAACAGATAAAATATATCGAAAAGGGCATAAGAAAAAGGAACGCTAGCCGCCAACACGGAGAATTGTACCAATGTTAATTCAGTGGTTTCCGAGAAAGTAACGATACATTTTGGTTAAAGTCCTAAATCAAACGTACAGACATACAGTCTAGAATATCTATGTAGAAGT